CCCCCAAAACCCCAAAACCCCAAAACCCCATTTTCTAAAAAATATAATTACAAAAATGAATAAGAAAATAGTACCTTGGCTTGCAGTTTTGGCAATGGCTTTGTTTACCTCTCAGGTGCAAGCTTTCTGGTCAACCGGGCATATGATAGTCTCCAGAATTGCATATGAGCAATTGAGGAATAATAATATGACCCTTTTTAAGCTGATAGATAGAGATATCAAGGTATTACAAGAATATTCTTTGGAAGGTACAAATCATACCTTTGTTGAGTCAGCTAATTGGCCTGATCATTTGAAAGAGATTGCGTTTAAAGCAATGAATGGGTGGCATATTGCAGAGACTCCTATTATTGATCCTGATTTTGAAGGAGAGGTTTATCAAGCCAAAGAAAATGTAACATGGGCTATTAATCAAATGATCTCAACTTTAACCTCTAAATCCATTCCAAAATTTAATAATTCTCTTGCAATTTCTTTCTCATTCCGCTACCTTCTTCACCTAGTCGGTGACATCCACCAACCAATGCATGCTGCCACCTACTACTCTTCTTCCTTTCCCACTGGAGACATTGTGGGAACTCTGTTTCCCATAGATTTCTCTCCTGAGATCCAGAACCTTCATTTCCTGTGGGATGCTTGTCTTGACCAGTACATTTCTATCAACTCAACTATCACTGAGGAAGACTGGGATCTGCTTGGAGATTACTCTAGTAAAATCATGAGGGACTTCCCTCTTGATTCTCTCCAACAGAGAATCTCAGTCACAGATCCAACTGTGTGGGCAGCTGAAAGCTATAACATCACTTCCAGTTTCATTTACTCGGAAATCGTGCCTGGAGGCACTATTCCTGATGAGTACATAAAACAAGGAAGTCAAATTATTAACGAGCAACTGGCAGTAGCTGGATATAGACTGGCAGAACTTCTTGAGAAAATTGGAATTCAGAGGTATAGAGGAGAAGTTATAAACCAAATGCTGAATTTTTAATGAAGTTTCAATTAGATATTATTAGGTAGGGGTTTTGGGGTTTTGGGGTTTTGGGG